CAACTGTAGCGTCGATACGATTTTAACGAAATCTGATGCAAAACTCTTGAGTCCACACTTCAATGATAGCTATTTGTCACAAGAATCTCAACATTTGACACAAGAATTGCATGACTCGGCCATCGATAACGAATCCGTCACTAACTATACTATCAGTTCTGTCAGCAGTGGGGGACAGTCGACGTGTCAGGACATACCGGCGCCAAATAGGGCCGGCAGTCACCCATCGATGCCTATAAACTATTTGAATATTGAATTGACGGACGATTTTCAGACCACATCCAGTTCCCCATATCTGTCTTATGTGACACTCACGGCATATGTTGGTCACGAGTGGGTCATTGCAATGAAGTACAGGTGCGAAGAACACCGAGCCGTCGAGATATTGGTACAGGAGTTGAGACATTATACTAAAGACAACAAAACAGATAACTATAAACTCTGGGATAACGCCATCAAAAGGATTAAATGCAATGGATTTAGTGATTGTAATCCTAACAAATGTCTTAATTTCTTGAGTAATACACTGGATTTGTATCAAAAGGTTTGTAATTTTGAATAATAATTGAGTAGATATTATAAATAGTTTCAAAATTGTGTTTTAGTGTCTCATCCGATGTCCGGACATAAAGACCGCCACAACAGTGAACCCACTCTTCAATACAATGCATTCATTTGAACCAAATTTCATGCGAAATGCAAACCAATTGTCAGAGTTATATGATTTGAGACAATCATTTGAATTGAGATCTAATGAAAGCCAAAGTCGAGTAACAAATAAATGCAACGAATATATTAACAAATCTAAGGAATTGATGTTCAATTTGAATAGTATCAGGGTCCCCAATATTATCCCATTTATACTTCCTAAGACGTCTCAACCCATAAACTACTTAAACATTGACTTACATGAGAATTACAGTACAAATAGCTGTTCACCGTATTTGCCGTACAAGACATACACAACGACTCTCAACAATGTCTCATACATTGCCATCAAATACCAGTGCGATGTGGAGCCGGCTATTGATAAGTT